TATGTAATTTATCATATTGATGATGCCTGTAAACTGGCGTCTCTCATGTACAAAATGAGAATATATTATTATTATTATGTCTGGTACCAAGAAATATATTTGCGATAGCCATAATAATCATAGTCTCAGAGCCTAACATCAAAAATGGAGGGAGGGTGGCGCTAGCTGATCAGTAGATATGGTGGTGTTCACTAAGGTGAATCCCACCATTCTGCAGGAACAGCAATATGCAATTTGACGGCTCGAGATACTTCTGATTTTTATGAGGGCTTAAATCTTTATATTGAAAAAGATAATAATGAACGCCTAGACAGATCATGCTTCTACCTTTAAATATATACCGTTCGCTCAGCCTGTTGTTGAGATGCGACCACGTGGGCTCTGTGCGGATTTATGGGGCATCTTATAAACTAACTTGCTGTCCATTTTTGGATCTTTAAATACCACTTCACAATGTTTTATCTCATTTATCTTCTAATAGCGTCTTTACTTGATCCTCACAATTACATTCCATTAAACCTAACACTTTATAGCTCTTTATGAATTTGATTCGACTTATTCTATTCCTACTCTCTGTAGGGTATGGTTGTGCACCAAATAGACAAGAAGGTATGAAATAAAAACAACTGGCTCGAAAATAATTGTATTAAAGCCAAAAGTGGACATCATGAAAGTAAGACCTATATGGGTAGCATTATACATTGCAAATGAACGTTGTTAGCCTAGGATTAATTACCTCCCGATTCTGTTTCTTATATAAATGTATTTATTAATGATATATTGCACTTACTTAATTTATCACACTTTAATGATTCACATTAGCACTTTTACTTTCCTAAAACAGCTTTCAGTCCCTTGTAGACGTTGTACTTACATGAATATTGGTTGGTTATCGTATGCCTACAACCACGGGTTGAAAACGAAACGAAGTCGATTTTCCCAAGCAACCTGGAGGACAACTGTACAATTCAATAACTATACGGCCTGGTTCAGGCAATGAGTGTAATTATATATATATATATATATATCAAATATTTATCTGTTGAAACATTATTAACTTGTAGACAATCTACGATTTGATATTATATGATACTTGATCGTGCCTGTAAAAATGGCATGCATTTTCATGTAAATTTATATGTTTATATGAGAATATACATTATTATTATTATACCCTCCTTTTGGTCGCAAAACAGTCAAAGAAAGGGTTCTCATGGTTGAAAAGTGGTACGCAACGTGTTCCTCAAGACCAAGTCGGTTGCTTGGTCAAGAGTCAGACCGACCACAACTTATACCTGGAACTCAGGAACCGGTGCAACACAATAGACAAGAGGTCGTTTCAAGCCAACCTCACCAAAATCTTCTGGCGAACCCCAAACGCCCGTACTGATTCATATCAGAGGGGAAACCAACCAACAAACCCACTATCAGCTTGGGACGATATGACATCTTGCTGGGATATGAATGTCCCAGTCCAGGTGGTCTTCCTAGTGTTTGTGAAGGCATTTGACACAGTCGACCATGACCTTTTCCTACACAAAATAGGTCAGGCAGGTATAGGTGAGCCGCTTCCTTCATGGTTGAAGGACTGCCTAGCTGAAAGGAAATTTCGCACTAAGGTCGATCGAGTCCGCCCATCTTGGCACGACTCGTCATCAGGAGTGTCGCAGTGTCCTATCCTAGGACCAACGATATTTTTGATTTTTATCAATGACCTGCCATGCTATCTGAGCTGCCCAACTCTTCTATACGCTGACGACGTAAGATATGGGGGCAATAAGGTGTCCGGAGGACTCAGATAGGCTGCAGGCGGACCTAGAGCTTCTGGAAAACTAGACTTCGGCCAATGGTATGACATTCGACCTAAAAATGTGCAAAGTTGTGGAATCAAGAACCTGTAGGCTGAAGAATGCAATTTACACCCTGTGCAACGAAAGCTTGTCCTTCACGACGTTGGAGCGTGCCTTAGGTCTAGTTATAACGGAGAGACTGGACACAAGCGTGAATTGCGCGGGGTATGTAGCGAGGGCGTACGTGGTCATACACTTTACACATGGACAGTTATATGCACTCACTAGTGAGCTCTTCGCAAGGTTGTACAAAACATGAGTTGGACCACACCTTGAAGTGCTTAATATCATTGCACCCCCACTGCTCAGAGGAGATGCAAACACCTTGGGAAGAGTCCAAAGACGGGCAAAGAAAGGAGCGATGGCTCTCCGGAATAAACCGTATGATGAGAAGCCAAGGAAATTAGGCCTGTTCATACCTAGCTACTGTCGGATTAGGAGGGATTT